ATAAAAAAAAAAATTTTACCGATTAACAGATTAATCGAATCGAATCATGGTGTATTCTTGAGTATCGAAAATAATCGAATCGTTGGGTCAGGAAATCGATACTGAATCGAATCGCCATGATGGATGTGATTTACACCCCTACTTACTATGTCTTGAAATTAACATGTTAAAGGTTAGAAAATCAATTTGTACTAAAAGTGCTGAAAACCCCCCCTCCCACCTCCCACCCACCCAGTAAGGTCCAAAAATGGTTCTGAGTTCTGTCTCGAGGCAAACGGAAACGCAACACACACACATTTTCTACACACACACACATTATGCCTGACTCACACACAGCTGCTTAAAATAGCTGTTCACTGAGAGGCAGAAGGAGGATAGCACAGTTACACAGGGGCGATCATCATAGAAATAGGGCCCAAAGGTTTAGAAGCATTTTTAACTGAAAACAATGTACAGATTGTTACACTAGAATGATATTGTGTACGGCATGTAAAGTGACTGATTCTGGAGCTTATATTTAATTATGATAAACCCCACATGATTAGACAAATCCTTTCTTTGCACATAGATGACAGAATTAGAGCACTACTGAGTTAAGTTGGTCTTACTGTAGCAAAGTGAATAAATGAAACACTGATTATTAAGAATACTTAAAGGTGATGATAAAAAAAAAAAAGATTTGTAATCATTCAACTTTCAGAAAGAGCAAGTTACATTTATGCTAAGGATTTCTTAAGGTAATTAACTTTTCATGAAACTTGGTAGACAAAATACAACTCAACAATTATTAGGGGTAAGAGATAAATAAAATAAAATGAAGTCCTATTAACACCATGATGCAAAAGTTGGAAAGTGGTTTTGCTATTGGAAAATTATGATTTATAAATTGTTCTTTCATAAAACAATTAACAAGGCAAATTATTTACATGGAGAATTTAATTAAACTTAAAACAGTATTGTGGGCCTGGTGAACTGAAGCCGTGCAGCTGAGACCGAATGAGGCGGAGACTGGATGAATCACGGTTATCTAGCCGAAGTGGCTCGAGCAAAGAACACTGGCAGAACTTGAATGTGCTGCAGCTGACATTAAAAGCTTGGAGGGAAGTGCTGGCCTTGTAGTTAGGGCATAGAGCTTGGAATCCTGAGGTTGCGAGTTCGAAACCCACTTCCACAGACTGCCACTCTGGGTCTCTGAGCAAGACCCTTATTGCTCTCTGGTGCGATCTGCTGAGATCAATAAAAACTTCAATTAATTATTAAGCTCGGCCAAATTAGGAGATGGTTTCTGTCGCTGGTTGCTGGACGTGAAGAAAACACTGCAAAAAGCCAAACACATCAGATACTCAAATTAACACAGCTTTATGGTCAGAGTAANTTGCTTCAGCTCCTAGCGGTCCACTCTGAGCAGAGGCGTCTGGTTCTGCAGGGCAAACATTGCATCAGTTTCCGGGTCGTTCCATTGAACAAACTCTGACTGTTTGTCTCCTGGTTGATCAAACATCTGGTTTCAGGTCAGATGTTCTCTCAGGTCAGCTGATGACGTCAGCGATAGAGCAGCTGCCCTCTGCTCCCTTACCTCACAGCCTTTAGCAGACACAGCTTCAAATGGCAGCTGCACAGGCAGGTGGGCTTCACCTGAGCTGATCATGTGACATGATGGCGGGGCCATTTCACTATGATGCCAATAAATCAATGATATCATGATATTGATTACATGGTGTGATTACATGCATCAACCTAGCAGCAGAGGATTAAGCTCACCAGGGTCGTGCATGGAGAAATGTTCCAGCTGTAAAGGTGAAAACAAACATGGCTGAAAGCGTCACTGCAGACACCTTCATTCCTAGGAAAGGAGGTAGTTCAGAAACTAGACCCTCACAGGAAGGACATGTATTATGCATCGACCACAGAGCCTTCTCTGAGTCTGACTGTGTGCGATGTTAACAGCGACTGGGAACTGTGCAGCTCAGAGCTGGAAACCAGTTACTTTCCTCAGAGTCACACAGCCAATAAAACCCTGACTGGTGTGAAGGAGTTACTCCATCCTCAGCATCTCAGTGTAGAAAAACAGGTGAGCATGACTGCAGACAGCGGCGCTAATGTCCAAACTCTGAGACTGAATAACCTGTCTGGACTGTCCTGTTTGGACATCGTCTTCATGTTTCCTTCATTTTCTCCACAATCACATAAACTATGACAACATTAGCCGAGGAGAAGATGCATCACAGTAAGTTATTAAAGAGTTATTTCATTCAGGCTGTTCACTAAATGTGAAACACATTATATAGATGTTTCCAAACAGAATGGCATTTATTCCTGATTGATGATTATTGTTCCTGGTTCAGGTGTTTAAAGGCAAACATTTTTAATTTATATTACATTTTGCTTAAAAGGTTTTAACCGTTCATTTTCACATCCACTTTAGTTTTTGATGTATTTTGTTATTTTATTTTGTTCAATATAAATAACAGGAGAATAAATTTTACTTTTATTTTTATATTTTTAAACCAAATATCTTCCTTTACTTCACTTTAAATGAACCTGTTTATTGTTTTTCTATATAATAATGCAAAGCAACATTTGAAATGAATATTGCCCAATGATTAACTATACATTTTCTGTCATATCTCAGAATGTATCATAGTTAGAATGCTATGACATCATATGTGAGTAACATCGCCCCCCCCTCCCTGAGACTGAGGGACGTTCTGTTTTAACTGTAATAAAGTCATATAGGCTGTAACCAATGAGAACTCAGGCTGTGCTTCGTCTCTGCAGAACCTGTCGGCCATCTTTGTAGTTTTAGGGCTCTGCCATGTCAGCCACTTCTTTACCTTCTGCTCTTTGGTAGTTTAGGACCTGATATGACAATCAGAGATCTAAGGAAACCTTTACATCCAATAAGGTTGCTCTGGTTCTATTTGAGGAAGGGGATTCTGGCCTGGTACTGGGGTTCTGGATGATCTGCTGCTGCTTGGCCTGCGGACACTGAATGTTGCACACAGTCAGAGGAAGAGGAGGAAGAGGAGGAGTTGGCTTCATCTATCTGCCTGACGAGGGAGAACTGGATGATCTGCCTCCTTGAACCCAGTGGGCCTCAGCAGATGGCCGCTCACACTGAGCCTGGTTCTGCTGGAGGTTTCTTCCTGTTCAAAGGGAGTTTTTCCTCTCCACTGTCGCTACAAGCATGCTTAGTGTGAGGGATTGCTGAAGAGTCAATGAGTCGATGCAATCAGCTGGTTTTCCTTAGATAGAAAACTTTGAATCAATCAGACTGGATGATCTGGTTGATCTGGATCTATAAAGTGACATGATGTGAATTGGAGCTATAGAAATAAACTGAATAGAATAGAAATAAACTGCATGGAACTCAATAGGATGAACTGCCTTGCTTGGAACAGAGTGAATAAGAAAAACATCCAGAAACACTTCAGAGCTGAACTGGAATGGCCGATAAACCAGAGCAACACCACCAAGACTCAAACCAGTAAAACCACCTTCTGCTCCCAGTTCCCACATTTCCATTTAATTTGAGTGAAAAACATGATTACACAGAAAGTTTATTTCCTTTTTCAGGGACGACAGCGATGTGATGAGGGTAAAAGAAGAAACACAACATTTTGTTTTGCATTTTAATGACCAAACTGAAATGATGTCAATAAGTTATATCTGTTCTATAAACAGTTTTCGTGGCCAACCCTCCATCATAGAGCCTCCATCTAAGGTTTGTCTGCTCTCTCCTCAAAGGTGGGACGATCTGTGATGATTGGCTGGAAGACCTGGTGTCCATCCAGTCTGCTGGCTGACCCTCCACAGGACGTTTCCTCTGGGAGAGAACCCGTCTGGAGAACGTTCGGATTCAGCTTCTTCCAATGTGGAAAAGCATCAGTTAGAACTTTTTTTCCTGCATGTTCTCAGTCTTTTTGTAGTCTTTGGTCCTACGAGCAGCCGCACTCTTCTACAATCATGTCCTGGATGTCCTTCTTGATGATCTTCTGCTCCTCGTTGTAGTAGAGCATGGACATGGCGCGCAGCCTGGTGGGCACGCAGCAGGACTTCATGTTCTGGAACGGCCCAAAGCCCCTCATGCGGTAGTGACTGATGACCGCAGAGTGGAAGGAAAGCGTCGAGCCGCTCATGTGGTTTGGGCATTCCCCCTCGCAGTAGTTGGCATGGTAACCAGATGGAGCAATAATCCAGTCGCTCCAGCCGATGTCTTTGAAACTCACGTAAAACTGCCGCTTGCAGCACACGTGGATTTTGCCGTTGCACTCTAGACCTCGTTTGACTCTCCGCTGAGGCTCCTCCTCCTCCACTTGCAGCATCACCATGAGGAACGGTCGGTGGGACTCATCCCTGCCCGCCGTCTTCGCTCCGGCTGTGAGGACTGGCGACGCCCCGACTTCTGCACAAAGTGGACAGGAGACCTGCAGACCGAGGGCGCTGCTGCCTCCGTCTAGCAGAGACTGAACGCTATGAGTCACAGACAGCTTGTGCCAGCCGCTGCGACGGCTGTCCACCATCTTCTCTGACACAAACTTGTCTTTATGAGATCCACCGTCATGGCGAGTCCACAGCAGCTGCAGCATCACTTTACTTCTGGACCGACTGACCTTCGACATCTTCAGGAAGATCCAGACATTGGCGTCCTGCACCACGGCACCGCCTCCACCCTTCAAAATGTCAAAGGTCACTGTGTTTGGAGAGTCTCCTGCAGAGGAAAAGAAGCCGTCATGTTAGACCTGCTGGTAGAGAAGAGGACCCCCCCCCCCACCGGGCCTGTGAATGAATGAACAAGGTCTGAAAGAAATGCCTGAATAGATCACTGCCTCCAAACATATCTGATATAAACAGAGCCTAAAACAGACGCTGACCAGGTTCTCATCTGCTTCCTTTTTGTTTCCTGCTGCAAAATAATTACTGAGGCCCAGATTAGTCTGAATAAAGAGATTATTCACAGCCTGAGATCCCTCGGTATGCACCCCCGCCCCCCGCCACAGCGGCCTCGTTACTGTCCCTTAATTTGGAAGAGCCTATGAGGAACCTTTCAATAACACATTTCTCTAAAGAGAAACAACTATTTATAGAACATTTCTGTCAGCAAACAACACGTGAAGAGGGAACCATGATGTTCTGCTCCACTTTCAGCTGAGAACTAGAACTTTTCTTTTAAGGTTTATGACTCATTTGGATATTAGGAAACAAGGAAGAAACATAGTTAAAGGTATTATCACTGCCTGTAAATAGGCTGCTGTCTTTCTTTCTTTATCGTGAACATTGCATCTACCTACATTTGCTATATTATTTTTTAACTGCATGTTATTTTTCCTTTTTCCAAAAGTTCTTTCTCTGCTGCTAAACAGATTAACTTTCAGGTTATCGTAACCTGACTTCTATAGT